TATATATATATATATATATATATAAAGTTAGGTGGTAATCAGGTTATACCAATTCTCAAGATGCTACACTGGATGTTTATTTGGTTCCTTGCTCAGTGCACAGTGCTGGCACTCTTTCCTTGCAAACCCTAAATGGCTTGGGCTGGGACCCAAATATTTGCAGAAGCATCTGCCTCTGAGGACCTTATCACATGAGGGAAATCCCGTGCAGAAACAGGATTTAAAAGATGGGGGATACCCGCAAAAGCAGGTAGATTTTCACACACATCGCTTTTAAACTGTTGTTAACCCAAATGGAAAGTAGTCTAAAGCTGCTTCTTTTTACTTTCAGGACTCTCCGAAAGTAAAAAGAAGTGGCATTTGACTACTTTCTGTTTGGGTTAAGCACACTTTTAACAGCGATGTCGTCTGAAAATCTACCTGCTTTTGCAGGGTTTTTTTCTACTTAAAACCCCATTTCTGCACAGGATTTTCCCCATGTGATAAAGTCCTGGGAGCATCTGTGGCTGAAGAGTGGAGTATAAATACTCCAAATAAATAAATAAATTTATAAATAAATAAATAAATAAATAAGCTACAGCCAGCTCTGCCATAAGGTAAAGTGAACCAATCACCTCAGATGGAGCTGCTCAAAAGTAGTGCCAAGACATTGAAAGACAGATTACCCTGCTACATTCATATAAATTGGATCATTTTGTTCCATAACCAGTGCAGGCTGAGTCTTACTTATCTGGAATTTCAAAATCTGAAATACTCTAAAAAACAAACTTTTTTTTCATAGGTGACACCTTTGCTTTCTGATGGTTCAGGGTACACAAATTTATTTAAAATATTGTATAAAATTACCTTCAGGCTATGTGCATAAGTTATAAATAATAATAATAATAATAATAATAATAATAATAATAATAATAATAATTAGAAACATAAATGAATGTTGTGTTAGACTTGGGTCCCATCTCCAAGATATCTTATTATGTACTTATATGCAACCATTGGTATTTCAAAACCCACAAAAATCCAAAATCCCAAACACGTCTGGTCCCAAGCATTTCAGATAAGGGAGATAAGGAAGGAATATCAATAATCTAAAAAATGCAGACAACACCATACTACTAGCAGAAAATATTGTAGACCTAGAACAACTACTAAGAAAGACCAAAGAAGACAGTGCAAAGGCAGGCTTATTGCTGAACATAAAGAAAATAAAAATAATGACCACGGAAGATCTACACAAATTCAAACTAGACAATGAGGAAATTGAAATAGTGAAAGCATTCCTGTGCCTTGGGTCAAACACTGATCAGAATGGGGACAGCGGTCAAGAAGAAGACTCGGAATGGGGAGGGCAGCTATGAAAGATCTAGAAAAGATACTAAAATGTAAAGGTATACAACTGAGCACGAAAATTAGAACTGTACAACTGAATAAGAAAGTTAGAATCGTACAAGCCATTGTTTTCCCAGTGACCTTGTACAAATGCAAGAGCTGGACAGTGAGGAAAGTGGATAAGAGGAAAATCAATGCATTCACAATGTGGTGCTGGAGAACAGTGCTGAAGACACCATGGACAGCCAAAAGGAGAAACAAATGGGTCCTAGAACAGATCAAGCCTGAAATCTCCCCGGAAGCCAAGATGAAAAAGTTGAGTTTACCATTCTTTGGTCAAATCATGAGAAGAAATGATTCACTAGAAAATACTATAATGCCAACAAAGATGGAGGGATGCAGTAAGAGAGGAAGACCACATGCTAGACGGAGGGACTCTATTAAGGAGCTCATGGGCATGAATTTAAAGGACCTAAGCAGAGCAATGGAAGACAGGGAGTCTTAGAGATGTCTCATCCACAGGGTCACCATGACTCGAGGATGGTTAACCATAAAACGGTGCTTCCCAAGTTGGCAGCTATTGGGGGTGAAGATAAGGCACTGCCCCCTCAAATATGAATTCTGTCTTCCATGAAGTTTTCCTTCAGTTTCCAAATTTCGAGCGTTGCACAAAGTGAGGCAATGAAAATCATTCACACTTAGAACTCTTCTATT